ACCAAGAGTCTAAGGACAGCCTGAATTCCACAGGAAGAGTCTGTCTCAGAAATAAGTAAATAAGCATTTCTTAGGAGTGTGATTTAGCATTTCTCTGTCTGAAATTAGAATGGCATGCTTTAAATACAAATTATCTGTCAAGGTCCTTCCTGTAGAGTTTAAATTTAACTCAAGAGGTATCTTCAAATCTTGTCATCCTGTCTAAAACTTAATTCCTTTGTTTTCAGGGTCTTGAAGGTGCCTCCCTTGCTCCTGTGTCCAACACACATCTTGTCTCTGATTATATCCCTCATGTGTGTTCCTGCCTGGGTGGCTGCTCTGCTCCCCCCTTTCATCTTTGTGGGCTTAAATTACTTTCTAGAAGTCTTCTTTCCAAGGGAGCTGTAATGAACACACTCAACTATACTTAGGGATAAGTTCAGTTAAAATGCTTTAAGATCTATTACATACATGAACATAATTCAGAGAGAAAAAAAAACACCACCCTGAAATCTGTTTCATCTTTAACCTGAGTATTGAATGCTCCGGTTTGTTTTCTGCTATAGACATTGAAGAGTAACGAGACTTTGATTGTTGTCATCTTGGAATGTAACGCAAAGATGTTGACTTTGGGATCTAGCCCTCTTGCCTCCACCCCACCGGATGTGGTCTCATAAGTCTTGTTGACATTAATGAATAGTTTTGTGTGCACAGCACAAGGATAAGAGAGACAACAGAGGGGTCAGAGTGGCGATTTCTTCCCTAGAAGCATGAACCACAAACTCTGTCCAACAAAACAATCACTGGCATAACAATGTATGCCATTGCTTTTTCTTCATTCTATAGGGAGATGTTGTAAGGTCGCTTAATTAATAGAATCTTTTGTGCATCACATTCAGAAGAGCCTTCCCCTTTCAAGGAGGAATCTAACAGCACAGCAAACATATGCATTTCTGGCTGCATTTCAGGCCATATTTATTAACTAAGTGCTAGGGTGGAGTAGGGTTCTCTTGCCAATGGGATTCATAGGACACAGCACTTGAAAGCACATCAAGGACTGAACCATGTCTGCAACAAGCACAATTGCTGCCTGTAACTCCAATGGAGTCGGTGCTGTCTGCACTGACGGCATAAACCACAGGCTAACTGAAGAACTTGAGGCACCTGAGATTAAACACAGTCTCCCAGTATATGAGGTGCTGCGACCAATCTCCAGAGCCACGTGAGTTTAGAGAAAATAGCAGCTGGTCAGATGGAGGCCATTTCCGACTTTCCCCCACCATTTTGGGCACAGGGACCTTCCTGGAGCTGAAGTCTTCCATATCCTGTTGTTGGCAAGGAATAGCCTATTCACCAACAAGTCTACTTCACTCCACCCACCCTTTGCAAAACAACATTTTTGGAAGAAATCCAATGACCTATGAAACTAACACAAGGAATGTGCCAGGTAATTAAGACACAGGCAGGTTTTCTTTGGTGCCTCTCTGCCTCTGCACACACTCCCTCCCACCTCTCCCAGCTTCCAAAGTCAGAAATCCTCCTCCTCCTCTTCCTCACTGCCCCCCTCCCCAGACAGTTGTCCCCCTTCCCCTCAACTCCTTGCTGAGTGTGTGAAGACTAGGAGATTGGAATCAAAGGGTTCATGTCAGGTGACAAAGCTGGCACATATTAAACACTTAGTATTACACAGTCACCCCTTCAGAGTGCTCCAAATCCATCAGTCATCATGGAAAAATTAGAAGCTTTACTGGGTTCCTGCCTCTCCAAACAGATCTTCTCAGCTCCTTAATACACTCCATAATTCACCATTTGAGAACAGAGCCTCAGACCAACAAGACTGTCTCTGTAACACACTGTCAGGCAACTTGGAAAAGACAGAGAGGAACAAGTCAAAACAATCAGCAATTTCATTAAGGGGATAAGATTAATCTTGAATGATGCCCAAGTCTGACTCACATTGTCAATTATATATGATCTCCGTGAGCAGGCCATTTTCCAAACTCACTGAAACAGCTGCATGTTTCAATGGGCTGAGCTTACCCTATCCACTGCCCTCTGGCTGTTTTTGTTGTGGATTATGTAATTTATTGAGTGATGCAATAAGGAGAAGAATACTTTCTACCTGTGCTTTGTACATGATGGTGTCCAACGATTAGGGAAACGGGCTAAATTTGGCCCAGGACCTTGGATTTCAACACCCTAATTTGCTCTGTGACCTTAGGCCTATTACTTCCCTCTCTGCATCCGCTATAAAATTGATGTGGAGCAACTATGCTTACCTCTGTCATCACTGGATCTGAAACAAACTGTAACTGCCATTCGAGCAAGTACTGGTCCTTGAAACAAATACCCAGAAGATTTGGGCTAAGATTCCTGGAAAGTACACAATGGGCATTATCTCAAACAACAAAACATTGCCTTTATGATTTATCTTTGCCTTTAGCTATAGGAAACTGTGTTTAAAAGGGGGCTCATAGGTGATGATACTTGGAATGGAGGAGGAGGAGGAGGAGGAGTTCAAGAGCAGTCTCAGCTGAACAGCAAGTTCAAGAATAGCCTGGACTCCTTTGAAATAATTATAAAAGAAAAAGAAACTTACATTTTTAAAAATCAGTGTCAAGTAGAACAAAAGGAATTAAAGAGATCTAGGGCCTGTTACATGCAAAAAAAAAAGTCACATTTTTTAACCCCAAGATGTATTCTACAAGATCAATTAAAAATTATGTCATAAGGACACTAGAAGAAAACTGGTTAATATTTTTTAATAACCTTATTGCTTTCTTACGGATATCATAAAATTCAGATGCCACAGAAGGAAACCTGATGAATTCACAGCAGAAAACTGGAAAACTTCCTTGAAAAACCATGTATACAGGAAGCAAACATTATCAAAAAAATGGAGGCAGTGTGTGCATCTAACATGCCAGAAAAGACAAATGCCTCTAACATATGATATGCCTTTTAAAAATCAATACAAAAATTATGAATATATAATCAAGCAAAAGATATAAATAGGCAAAAGAAAAAAGGGGTAAAAGACTGACCAGCATGTCAAAAGAATCACAGCCTTGTTCATAGTGGACACAGAAGAAAGACAAAACCAATGTAAATCCTTTTGATTGTCAGACAGACTAACATATCAATGTTTTTGCCACCCTCAACCGCTGTAGTGTGGACAATAGACTGTACAGATCCTGATGGCTTGTGTGGTGCTTGGAAGAGTTGATAAATGGACAAGATATATTAAAATTTATTTATAAATTTGGTAATTCCCTTTCAAAACTTTTTAGGAAGACATGCTTCCAAAAATATTCAGAGACTATTTACTTTAGCATTGTTGGCAATAACAGAAACCCAGGAATATCTACATGGTACAATACCAATTCTAGACCATAAGAATTATAGCAGGTCTATATATAAGATGAAAAAAGCTGTTGAAGGTTTGTTTTTAAGAGAAGAAAACAATGTCCAAATTAATAAATGTAGAACATCCCATGTAAAATTTAAAAAGGGATCTACAAATAATATAAGCGAGAAGACAGAGGAGTTTAAAGACAATGGACTTTTGCTATTGTCTTAGAATCTTGGCTGTTTCAATGCTTACAACAGTTAAGTGGTTTCCCCATATTCTAAATAGCAGTTTTATATTATCATTCGAAACTTTCTTTCAATGAAAGAAACCCTATATAGTATCTCTTAGCATGCCCTGCACCTCGTCTCTATCTAAGAAGATATGAGAGCTTGACCAGAGAAGGAGAGGGAGACTAGAGACATGTCATGCTCACATTTGAGTTAGGGCTCCATGGACTTCCCCACATCCAGACAGAGGCTGCCTAGAGAGAATGAAAAAAACACACCTAGGAGAGGAGAGAGGCTCACCAGAGGGAAACACTGCAGCTTCCCAACCCCTCAACCCTGACAATAGAGAACACTCAGAGCTCCTCACCTGCTTCTCCTGCACCAGAATAGTGGAAAAACTAGTTGTGGCGGTTGCCTGGTGTTCCTTAGAGCATGTGCATGTGTACTGCCTGGAAAGAAAAGGTAAAAGCCAGACTGAAGATATTTGAGTTACCTGTCTTGTTAACGGGACAAAATAACCGACAAAAGCAACTTAAGGAAGAAAGGATTTTTTTCACTCATAGTCAAGGGTATGGTCAATCCTGGCCGGGAAGGCATGGCAGCAAGCATTTAAAATAACTGGTCACATTGCATTCACTTCCAGGAAGCAGAGAGCAATGAGGGCTGGAGCTCAGCTCCTTTTTCCTGTGTATTCAGTCTAGGAACCGAGCCCATGTGCCGCCCACATTTAGGGTGAGTTTCTCCACCTTGAGATTTGTTTCTAATTCTAAATCACATCAGGTTGCCTACCCAGATAAAGTGTCACAACTCCACTCCTTGTCAACCTGACTCCGAAACATTTCACTTTTAAACCACGCCGTGCACCCCTTGTCAATACTAACCATCAATGCGGGTGTCAGGAATGACCTACTATGTTAGAACAAAGAAAACAGGCCGAGGTGGGTGGAAGGGTCCAAGCCTTTCCAAGGAGCCACACAAGCATCCCAGAAAGTGTTCAGATCTGTGCTGTAGAAAAGTCCTTTTACAGACTGTGGCTTGCTGGGGCAGGACTGGCTCAGGAGGCGTATCCTGTGAGAGCAGGAAAAGTGTAATATCCATTTGGGGCAAGTCTTTAGAGGTTTGGCTGAGAGAACTCTGACAACAAACACTAGAAAAGCCCCAACTGGGTCTCTGGATACACCCACAGCACAACCCCATGCAGGAAAAATCCAGAGAGAGGTGTCTATCATTTAAAAGGAATATGTCCTTTTAAAGGGATTACCTTTTCCTTTTCTCCATGTTTTGTTTGTTGTTTTCATTTTGTTTTGTTTTGTTTGAGACAATGTTTCACTATAGCCCCAGCTGGCTTGCAACTTGCAGCTATCCTCCTGCCCCATTCTCATTAAGTGCTGGGATTACAGCCATAAAGTACCCTGTTTCGCTAAGATCTTTTCTTTTTTTACTTTGCCTCCTGCCCCTCCCTCTGTCCTGAAGGATCCTGGGATGCGGGGAGGGGGAAGGGGGGATGGAAAAGCAAGGTTGAGAAGAGGAAAGCCAGATGCTACACTCCCTTTCTCCCTGAAAGTTTCTGAACCAAGCCAAGCCTAACCTCTGGCCATAAACAAGAGGTAAGATCTCTAGATTTCTATCAAGAAAAGGGTGAGTGTTTTAACAATAGACAGGTTTGGAAAAGCTTCAGGATCTGCCTTAGGTACTACCCAGGGGCCATGACAAGAGGAATGCAGAGCCTGAAGGGCTGGATTAGGAAGGAAAAAGGCCACTTTCTCATCTCTTTATTGCTATACAGTTCAGTCATGTGCTAAACATTCCTCAAAGGGTCAACAAGAAGCTGTTAACTGAGCTTCAAGGATTAGGATGTCACACAGGAAGCCCCCCCCCCACCGTCCAGACTTTGAACACCTTTAAAAAATTACTCAGTATTTAAGATGGTTTAAATAGGGAGCCAATACACATCTTGTAGCCACATGAACTTTCCTGGGGCATTTATAACATCTTTCCCCGATCCTATCCTTCAACTTTTACACAGTCAACTGCCACCTACTTGGCCTAACTGGCTAGCATTAAGTAGAGTTCTCTGGCCATCTAGTTGTCCTTACAAGGCACTAGAACCTCTTGGCATCTATCCCTGCAGTATTCTAAAAAAAATAAAACAATGTTTGAGAGGGAGGTCCCACACAGCCTGTGCTGTGGCTAGCCAGTCCTACCTAACCAGTGGCATTGTGGAATATTCCTTAAGCCTTGACAACTGTCGTTAGGGCTTCTGGCGCATTTATGAAGTATACGCATCACAGTACATTTCTTAAGCCTTGACTGACAGTTGCTGTCAGGGCTCCTAAAACATATGTCACACAGCAGAAGGGGGTCCTGGTATGAACAAGCCCAGGTCTGGAGAGTTCAATGGCTGTCACTAAGACGCTCATTCATCCACCTATCACTGTCAGTCAATAGCCAGTGTTTTGATTGATTGTTATTACCATGCCATGAAGTAGCAAATAAAAAACTGACAAGGCTGAGGAAAGAAAAATGGCCTTGAGTGGTTCTTTTGCCTAAGAACTATTTGGTTGCTAGGCTGTAGTATCTCTATGTCAAGACAGTTATGAGGATATTCTGTATCCCCATGAAGACTTGTGGCTGTGGTAAGGTACTCTGTTGCTTTCTAGAATGAACTGCTCGCCTCACAGCTCTGTGAAAGACAGGATCCAAAACAATGTCAAGCTCTGAGGCCTCTGTCCCAGCCAAAGGTCTCAGGCCTTTGAGTGACCACAGTCACACAAATAGAGCCTCTATATGAATACATCACTGTGTCCCCCATCCCCCTTTCCACTGAGAATAACCTTGTTACTCTTATTGCCTTAACTTCTCCAAAAGCTATGGGTAGTGAGAGAGCTACATTCTGCAAGGTGGGGAGAAATAACCAGCGAACTTTCCATTTGTTTCATGAAGAAAAGTGAAGCCTGCCATGCTCCTAGCAATGAGGTGATCTTTTACCCCAAATTGAGTCACCCTTCCTGCAGAATCATTCAATAACATTGCCAAGAGTCTACTGAGTAGTAAAGCCACAAAGTATACTCACAAATCACCTCTCACCCTGTTGGGGTCAGGAGGCTATAGATTGTGAAAAAGAAATAAAGATGAAGGTATGAGTGCTCTAAAAAGGGAGCAATATTCATTTATCTTCTAGAAATTGATGGAGAGTTTTCCGGAGTTTGGAGACTACCTCTTTAGTTCCTTTTCTGTTTCTCTTATTGCCAGCTGTCATGGTACTTGCACAGAGTGGTATTTTGTGGATGCAGATAGAATTTTACAGTGAATTTATAGGTTGTCTGGCAGTCACTGTGGTGGTCATCCTCGTTCCAATCAGCTTTTGACAAGCCCACCCAAACAGGAACTTCTGGCCTTCAAGCATCCTGTTCTCAAAGATAAACAAGATTAAGACAGGGTTCCAGGACATTGCCTAGGCCTTTTCATGGACAGCCTCTTCTCCAAGGCATCTACCAAGTTACCTTCTTAGCAGCTGTCATCCAGGCTCCAGCTAAAGAGCCAGATTACAGCTATCAAAGCACCATCGATAAGAAGAGCCAGTTCAGACCCCCCTGGGAGGAGGCAGTAGAGGCTGAAAAAAGCAAAATGTGGGTCTTGACTTCTGTCATTCACCTAAATGGCAGCCTGAATGGTCAGACACCAGGATGACTCAGGTCATGAAGTCAGAGCCAAGCAGCAGGAGGAATGAAGATGGAGGAAAGGGCATTTCAGTAATTTGACTACTTAAAAAAACAAGGTGGGGGAGGGGAGCTGAAACAAGTGACTTCTACTTCCAGCAGAGGAAAAAAAAACAAAGCCAGCTTCTTTTCTGGTAGAATCTCATGGTGTCTAGGGCCTTAATCAGCTGGGTCATGCCACAGGGCTCTCAAAAGGAGAGAAATGACTGACAGGAAAATTAACCTGGATTTTGGAATGTGCAGGTGAAGATAACTCCCTCTGGCCAGTTACCACAGGACTGCCAGGAAAGGAAGTTGCACAAGACTGAAATGTAACAATTAATTAACAATGCAAAAGAGCCCTATCTGAAAGGGAAGGACAGGAAGCTCTCACAAGCCTATAAATTATTTCTGCTTGTTGAGTGCTAAAAGCACAAGTTCTAGACGTATATAAATAATATATCCCTGTAAATAATTGAAAACATAAGGAAAATTACATAAGCAGAAGCCAAATCTAAATTTAGCAAGGCCAGTGGCTTTTAGAACCCTTACACATTATGTTTCTCCCTAAGCCCCAGCACCTTGGCTAGGGTTGGGGAGGTGTGGATGGGGTTAGGATCATAAAGAGAGATATTTCATCCTATCATAGAGAACTGACTATAGTATTTCCTTTCTCTGGCTTTTTAGTTTCTATATCATTGTTTTTTTAGTATGAACAAATGAGCTGTGAAATCCCTTCCAGGCTTGGCTTTCTGTTTTTGTGCAAATACTAACATCTTGTAGCATCACAAACATCTCTTTGTAATTTATGATAGGATACATCCTTACGCAGCACTTCCTGTAGTGACTTGGGAATCTTGGTTTTTCTGGTGTGTGAGCTAAGAAGTGACTATCTTTGGTCAACTGAGTATTCTGTAGCTACAACCTTTGTTCATGAATTAGCTAGTTGTTGTTCTCTTCTTGGGAAATTAGTTTGTGGTCTGTTTCCTTCAGAGGACGACTTCACATGGTACCAGGACCACTGGTGTAAATTAGATAAATGGGTTTCATTTTCTTAGTTGTCCAAAGTACATGGGGAACAAGACTCCAGGCTGGTTTTTTCCCCTAGCACTGGCTGCATTCTTAGGGATGACTTATCAAGTTGCCCCCTGATTAATGAAAAAAGAAAAGTTAGATGCAGTAGGAGTTTGGCAAAGTTTCCTTTATCAGTGATTGTTTATATAGAGAGATAATGACTTAATCACAACAGCTGCTATTTAGTATATAGGAACCAGTTGATAAGCGCACACATTATCTTTGGTCTTAACAACCATCCGGTAAAGTGAATAGTATCAGGAAACTGAGTCTCAAAGGTTAAGTATATTGTTCATGACCACATAAGAGACAGAAATAAGAACCTACGAGGGTCTCATATCACCCCAAACCCAATGATAGCTTCATCACACTGATCCTGAGTTTCGTTTCAGACAACAAACACACTGAGATGTCTAAGTCCACGATGGTAATACAGTGGTTCCCCAAGTTGCAATATTTTAAGTTTATGTGGAGACATTTCAGAATCTTGGACCCTTCTTTCTTATTGTCCTGAATTTATACTTGTCTTTATACAGAACTACAACTTGAATGTTTGTATCCCTCCAAAATCATGTTGACACTTAATCTCCACTGGAACACACTAAGAGGTAAGGCCTTGGGGAGTTGACTAGTCCTCAGAATGAAGATCAAGAGAACACTCAACTTCTGCTCTGGCATCTTGCACCAAGTGAAGGCACAGTGAACAACAAACCACTTTGGGAGCAGAAACCAGGGAGCAAACATATCTTGATTTTGATAGTTGGGTTTCTTTTGCCAAGATGAGACACCATGACTATGGTAACTCTTATAAGGAAAACATTTAATTGTGGGGGCTTGTTTATAGTTTCAGAGGTTCAATCCATTATCATCATGGTGGGGGACATGGTGGCATACAGGCAGATGTGGTGCTGGAGAAGTAGTTGAGAGTCCTTCATCTTGCAGGCAACAGGAAGTGGTATGTCTCACTGGGAGGTATCTTCAGCACATATGCGACCTCAAAGCCTGTCCCCACAGTGATGCACTTTCTCCAACAAGGTCATACCTATTCCAACAAAGCCCTACTTCCCAATAGTGCTACTCCTTATGAGCTTATGGAGGACAATTACATTCAGACTACCACAGCCTCCAACTGTGAGAAATGATTTGCAACTGTTTATAAATTACTGCGCCTCAGATATTTGTGTATGAGAACAAATGAACTGAGACATTAGTATTACCACAGTTTACTCAACCATAATTTAGGATGTATTTGCTTTAATCAAAGCATTTTCCCCTTATAGTGCCAGATAGCTGTTAAAATAAAAAGAAAAGGAATATATTGAGCTATAAATCTCACATCTTACCCTCATTTATATTTCTTAGCATTTTTTATTCATCTCCCTTAAATTGATCATAGTTATTAAATCAATGCAAATTTATATGATCATTAGCCACATAACTCTTAGAAACCAGTTGTTTAAAATAATAAAATATGGACTTCGAAACATGGGAAAGTGGAAATCAATTTTGTTATTCCAATTATAAAGAATTTAATCCATCCTGGGGTGAACAGTAAGTAAAAGGAAACACAAAAATTAGGTGTAACTCAAGTGAGAGTAAGCATTTAAACCTATGAACCACAGATCTAGAACCAGTGGAAAGGCTAAATGGCAGTTTGCTTTTAGTATAGAATGGCTTTGTAGTATTGAACAAAATATTTGGGGCACCAAAAATTGTTTGCATTTGAGGCAATGAAACAGGATGAGGTGTGTTTAGTGAATGATATTAAAAGAAATAATTCTTAAACAGCAACAACACTGCACTCATATCAAAACATTCAACCCTTGCTGGCCATCATCACTGTGATTGCCTGATCTATGACCTCTTTGTCTCCAGTTCCACGCTCTGACTGCAACTGTCACTGAGTCACACAGCCTGCTCTAGGCAGGACGCCAATTTGATTACAACAACTGCTTGTGCCACAGAGAAAGTTAGTTTTCAGGGTCCTAGCAAATGGTTCACCCAGGCTCCTGGTTCTAGGGCATAAAGTTTGGTTGTTATTCATAAGTTGAAAAATAAATATCTGCCTAACCGAATAAACCAGCAATTTGAAAAATGCATGTAAGTAGAGAATCTAGTAGCCAAGACAGACTGAGGAGACCCTAGACTGTCATAAGCAGATATGAACACAGTCACCTGCCTCAAAAGTACTATGTCTGTGTGTTCAGTACCTTTACAATCTTGTTTTTATTTTCTAGGGTTACAGTACTACTTGCTGATTTTTGAATACCTTATGTCTAGTGCATGGCATATGTAAAAATAATATTTACTTAGCTGAAGTGGAATAATGAAGACACCTAGAGACAGCTAACTGTCACCTAGCTTTATTCGCCCCTAAGGTTGTTCATATTCCTTTGGCCTTTACAATTGAACTATATCACTCTACTTTATTTATCTCTGCAGAAACTAAACCTTCAAAAAGAAGAACAAAGCCAGGCATAGTAGCACATGCCTTTAGTACCAGCACTCAGGAGGCAGAGACAGGCTGAGTTCGAGGCTAGCCGGTCTACATAGTGAGTTCCAGCACACCCAGAGCTACATAGTAAGACCCTGTCTAAATGAATCAATAAGTAAATAAACAAAATCTTATCAAATAATATCATATTCTACTAATGTAAAATACAAACATGGTGTCACTAGGTTGTGCTAGCTACCGTAGCGGCTATGCAGTACACTACTCCATTTTCATATTTCTGTATTGTTCTTTTTCGGTTTGGATCTAAAATATAAGTTAGGACATTAAGTTATCCAAACCTCTGGAAAGGAATACTCCTCTATTTGAAATACACCTCTATCTGATTGATAGTGTATTTGTTTTATTTAAATAGCTCACCCAATAAATTCTTATTAAATTGCATTAACAGGTAGTTAAGGGAGTAAAAAAAACAATAATAGCAGTTGCAATGTAATTAATATTTCTTTGTCTCCACTCTGATGCTAATGGTGAGCATATATTAGCTCACTTGGTTATGACAACAAAACTATGTGATATCACTGCACAGACTATAACTGTTACAGAGGTTAAGGAATGTATTCAAGGCTATCCACCCAATAAGTAGAAGTGCTGAAGTTCAACCCGGAGCTCTTAGGCTCTAAGGCTTAGTTAACACACACAGACAGAATCAAATTTGTGGGTCTGGGGTCTTGGGGCCTGAAACTACTTGAATAGTCCTAATGGAGAACAAGACTGGCCAGGCCAAGAGCCCCACTTTAGTGAGGCCAGCGATGACTGTGCAAGCAAAGTTGACCTTGGCAAATCCCAGTGAGTACAACTCAGTTTAAGAGTCTGCACTTTTTTAGTCATCTTCACCCTTCCTTCCTCTAGAACATTCTTCTCCCTGCTCAGCCAGTATTTCTGTTTTCCATAGATTTCTTGGCTATATTAGGAACTTGCTTTCTTCCTCATAGTCTGAGTCAAAACTGGAATTTTTCAGAAGCTATTCTATCAAGAAATGAAGGAACAAGGACTGGTAAGCTCAGTAAGGAAAGGTGAGCTTACCAGGTAATTATGAGGGCATGCATGTGATCTCTAGTACCCTAGGAAAAGAGCTGGGCACAGTATACCTGTAATCCTAGCACTGAGGAGTTGAAGGCATGAAGATCTCTGTGGCTTGCTGTCCAGCCGGTCTAGCCAAATCCATGAACCCCAGGCTCAGAGATACACCCCATTTCAAAATGTAAGGGGGTGGGATGGTTTAAGGAAGACAGCTGAAACTGGCCTCTGGACTCCACATACATGCTCACCTACAAATAAAACCCATGGAAATACTAAGTGGGTGTGGCAACCTGCCTATAAGTCCAGCTTCAGAGATGGAGACATCTGGTTAGCCAGACTAGTCTTATCAGTGAGTTCTGTGTTTGTGGAGACCCTGCCTCAATGGAGAATGGTTCCAGACATCAATCTTGTGCCTTCACACACTTAGACAAACACATGCACACATACTCACTCACAAGAGAGAGAAATAAATAAACAAAATTAGGTTATTAATATTACAGAAAAGCAAGTAACTCAGTATTAAAGGAAAGTGATCAGAGCCATGCATGCTTGACACAAATCAGCACTGCCTTCTTGTAGGTTCAGTAGTTAGATAAGTTATTTCCTGAGAAGGCATAAAAAACTAGGACTTCAACACACTTTCTAAAATGCAGTATCTGAGCACTCCTCCTGAATCAGTCTCAGGCAAGAATGGTACACAGTTAACCTTCCAAGGGGAAAAAAAGGATCTGTTGGAATCTCCCATGTCAGTGAATGCATGCTCATAGTGCTCTTTGAAGCATGGTGTAGTAGTCTGAATGTGATTGGCCGCCATAAGCTTACAAGGATTGGCATTATTAGGAGGTGTGGCTTTGTTGGAGTGGGTATGGCCTTGTTAGAGGAAGTATGTCACTGTGGACATGGGCTTTGAGGTTCCCTATGCTCAGGATACTGCCCAGTGTCTCAGTTGACTTTCTGTTGCCTGTGAGATGTAGGATTCTCAGCTACTCCTATAGTACCACCTCTGCCTCTATGCCACAACGCTTCCCACCATGATGATAATGGACTGAACACCTAAAACTGTAAGCAAGTCCCCCCAACTAAATGTTTTCCTTATAAGAGTTGTTGAGGTCATGGTGTCCTTCAGAGCAATAGAAACCCTAGCTAAGACATATGGTGTCGTCTGGAAAAACACCAGTGCTGTGTCAGTCACTTCTGAGCCTGTACATTGCTTTGACCTAGCAGAACTACAGGTGGGCAGTTATTCACCTTGGGCCTGGAGCAGCAGGAACAACCCCTGGAGGCGGACATGAAATGCTTTCACGGTGCTCACCTGCAGTCTGCCCCCTGCCTTCAATACACTCTGTGAAAACAGCCCCAGAGAAAGCAGACTGAAAGACAGTCCAGAAAGCGAAATCTCCTTCCAAATGACCTCCCCTTCTTTGAAAGAAATGCTGTTTTGTATTAAAGCAATTTCTATAAAGAGATAGATGAGAAGTAAGTAGTGAGAGCTATTTGGAGGAAAAGAGAGGGAACGATATGATTAGAGAATAAAGGATACTTTTTTTATAAGGATATCAATGTGGGGGGAACTAACCCATTGGATAATATACAGATAATAATTAAGTCTGTTTCTAATGACCTGAAGGATTTACAATGTCCTTTAAAAGCAGGACTGTAGGAAAATGAAGGTTGATTGAACAAGAAACTATTGATGGGTGGCAATTCCTTCCATTCCTTTCTTCCTTCTTGTTCTTTTGGTGGTACATAGGATCAAACCCGGGTCTTGCACGGGCTAAGCAAGCAGTATTACATTACTAAGCTACACATGTAGACTAGTTGTTCAATGGTTAATTAAAAAAAAGGTCAACACTTTTTTTTTGACTTAATGGATCACACTTTAAACAAAATTAATGTTCTCTTTACTGAGTTCATATGAGGTCTAATCCCTTCGGTTATGGATCTTTCCAGGAATAATTAGGATGTGGAGCTTGATAATTTCACCTTTAACAGGTTCTTTGGTTAATTCTGATGCACTCCCAAATCCAGCACTGTTGGCACACTGTTTAGTGGCTACCTACGAGTGTATTATATATACTGATATATCATATGCATGGGACATTTAATCTATGTTTTCGCCACTGTAAATCATGATACACTGTCAACCTTCATAATAATAACTAATATTCATTGAATGCTTTCTATGTGCTAGCTGGAACTAAATGTTTATGTGGTCAGGACAACTTGCTACTGAGATGAAATCATATGTATTTTAAAGGTTTTGATGCCCATTTCCAGCCGGCTATGCCAGCAGATTAGCTCTGAGGCCATTTCGTACTTTTATGACGAAAAAACACTGATGACCCTATTGCGTGGAGACTAATACTCAGCTATCAGCTCAGTAAGCACCCTCAAACAGCAGCTTATTCAGCAGACTTAGGAAAGATAAAGCCCTGTGTCCTGGCTCCAGCAGCAGATCTTAGCTGCTATTGTTTCTAAAAGTAGCACTCCTGAGTGGTTGCTTCCAGGAATGTCTACCCAGACTGAGCAGCAGAGACAGTTGGCTGTCTCTGGGAACTGGCACATTTCATATGCTGTCTCTTCCAGGACCCATCAAGGCATAGCTGTAGCCAAGGGAACACAGAATGTGGAATTACTGGGCTCAAGATATTTTTCTTTTTTTTCCTAAATAAAATCATAAAGCAGAAAGAAAAAAACGCTCTGATGTGAGAAAAAAATTGTAATAACCTAAATAATTTGCCGATAGGCTCGTGTTTGAATACTTGGTCCCCAGCGAGGGGAACTGTAGAACTGTTTGGGAATGAGGAGGAGGTATGGCCTTGATGGAGGAGGTGTGTCACTGGAGGTGGGCTTTCTATAGCATCCCGGTTAGCTCTCTGTGCCTCATGGCTGTGCTCCTGCTTCAGCACCGTGCCTGCCTGCCTGCCTGCCTGCCCGCCCGCCTCCCTGCCTGCCTGCCTGCCTGCCTGCCTGCCTGCCTGCCTGCTGTCATACTCCCTGCCATGACTGTCATGGACTAACCTGGAACTGTGAGCCCAAGTTAAACACTTTCTTTTACAAGTTGTTTCATCATGGTGTTTTGTTTTTGTTTTTATAGAAATTGAGTCATAACTAATACATCTCATCCTTCTTTTCCTCAGTTTCTGCTGTCATGGTGTTTTGTTTTTGTTTTTATAGAAATTGAGTCATAACTAATACATCTCATCCTTCTTTTCCTCAGTTTCTGATGCATTCCATTTGTGGAGAACCGCAGCTTATACTCATCACATATTTATAATACCTTAGCTATGAGGTGGGGCAGACAGTCACTTGGAGGCTTGGTGTTCACCTATGTAAAGCCAATGGAAGGTAAGTTTTAGCCACCTAAAGAGGCATTCTTATGTGACAGGGGCAAAGCCTTATAGTACTAATGTTCAGAAAGCAAGCCGCTATATTTGGCTTTATTCATATGGACTTGAAGCATTGAATAACCACTTATTATGAAAAAGAATACTTTTGAAACTGGGATGAAATTTCTCCTTACATGGCTTCTGAAACCCTTTAAAGAATACAGTACAGTAAGACTATAAGCAATTTCAGTTCGTATTATCCAGTCTGTATTATCTTATAAATTAGCAAGCTAAGGCTTTTTAACTCTTTTGGGGGGCCCGCCACCCAACTCCCAAATAAATCACACAAGAGTCTTATTACTACTTTTGGACACCCAGCCTTAGATTGACTTGCTGCTAGCCAGCTTTTCTTAAATTAAACCATCTACCTTTTCCCTCTAGACTTTTATTTTTCTTCTGTATATCTTACTTTCCTTCGTACTTTGTAACTGGCTGGGTGGCTGTGTGACTGAGTGGCTGTGTGACTGGGTGGCTGGGTGGCTGGGTGGCTGGGTGGCTGGGTGGCTGGGTGACTGAGTGGCTGGGTGGCTGTGTGGCTGTGTGACTGAGTGGCTGTGTGACTGGGTGGCTGGGTGGCGGGTAGCTGGGTGGCTGGGTGACTGAGTGGCTGGGTGACTAAGTGGCTGGGTGGCTGTGTGGCTGTGTGACTGAGTGGCTGTGTGACTGGGTGGCTGGGTGGCTGGGTGGTGTGTGACTGAGTGGCTGGGTGGCTGGGGGGCTGGGGGGCTGGGGGGCCGGGGGACTGGGTGGCTGGGTGGCTAGCCCCTAGTGTGCTCCTCTCCTTGTTCTCTCTTTGCTCCCCTTCCTTGCTTGTCTTTCTGTTTCTCCTCTCTGCCTGCCAGCCCCACCTATCCTTGCTCCTGCCTTGCTGTTGGCAGTTCCACTCTTTATTAGACCACCAGGTGTTTTAGACAGGCACAGCAGCACAGCTTCACAGAGTTAAACAAATGCAGCGTAAGCAAAAGTCGCACACCTTAAAATAATGTTCTACCACAATTATGAAGAAGGGGAAGCAGGAGAGCACTGGTTTAATCTAAGACGTGGTGTGGCCAGGATAAGAAATTCTGCTGCTGGTGTTTCCCGAAACCAGCTGTGTACCTCAGTGAACATTCATGGAGAGCTGCTGAGTAAAAACACAGAACACCTGGGAACCAGTTCTGGCTTTCTCACTGGCCTTGGAGAATCCACTTTCCTGAGCCTCTTTCATCATTAGTTACACGAAGGGCATGGACTAAGTGATGTCTTTGGCAAGTATGGGTCGCTGTATTTGCCAAGCTCTAGCTTAGCAGGAGAGCTGCCCCTGTTCAACTCCACCATCCATGTGTCACGTCTGCTGCGCGGCCTGTGTCCGAGAACGTGCGGAGGGTGTCGGGTATTGATAACACAGAGACTCGTTCAATGATATAAAGAGAACTTTAAACAGGCTCCAAAAAGGTTCAAGAAAAACTTCCTAAGAAAGGCTCCCACCAGAGAAACTTCTGCTCTCTCCTCTCCCCTGGCTGGTTCTGCTCTGACACCAGAGGTGGATGTGTGTGGGTTTTTGAAGGTGCGGTTAGTCTCTGGACAAGGTCGAGGTCAGGGCGGTTTCCGTGGGAAGGCCTTTCCCAGGAACTTATTGTATCATTTTTAGTAAACAGGTTTTTACTAAACATTGTCTTACAGCTGCCTACTCCCAGGCAGAAGGGGAAGTGGCCAGGAACTTATTGTATCGTTTTTAGTAAACATGTTTTTACTAAACATTGTCTTATAGCTGCCTACTCCCAGGCAGAAGGGGAAGTGGGTCTCTGCTCAAGGTCTGGTGTTCCCACATCCATGTAATTACAGTGGGGCCACACAACTTACCGCCGCATCAGTCAAGTCTGACTGACCAGGGATAGTGTGAGTCCAGGCAGAAGCATTCCTAAGCTGAGCCAATAGGAGATTTTTTTTTTCCAAGGAGTTTCAGAACTGGTGCTAGAAAGGTTCTCTTGGCCTCTTACTGGAGTCTGAAGCTGAGACTATACAGACCTGCAAATAATTGGTAGCCACCTTCAGAGATTTGATCTGAGTGGTAAACATAGCCGGGAAGGAGAGAAGACCTTTGGTAAACTGGTCAGACAGAATCACTTTCAGATCGGTGATCTGAGAACTGATGTGTACCGTGATCCCACAGAATCATGTTAATAGTAAATCCCTTATTCAGAAAATTAAATAAGCCACTTGGCCAATAAATTATCTATTAATTGAGATGACAGTAGTTATGCCCAATATGTTTGCATATCTTTTTCATGCTCAGGAGTTGATTTTTAAAGGGCAGGCCAGATAGGAGCATTCCACACGATGGGAAATAATTTAACTGCAACAAACTGAAAAAGAGAATGTCTGCCAAAGAGGCAAGTTCCTAGAATGGGTACCAGAGCTATAGACTAAGTTAGGATGCCAGGAAGTTAAAGGATGTGTTTTCCTATCTGAGTATGAAAGGTAGACAGAAAACAGGCAGTGTATTTGCTATTTCCACAATCCCAGGGAGGCTAGAAGGCAGGCACGCTCTCTGTCACTATTTACAATCTGGGTACCTGGCTTCATGTAAGTTCTTTAAACTTGACTCATTATTTTTAAAAAGGAATTAAAATATCTGTTAGCCGTTCCTTTTCAGTTTTGAGCTCGAGATGAATACTGCACTGCGTCCCAGGCATGAAACAAAAGGTTCCATCTCCACAAAAGATCTTGGTTAAAAGTGAAAAGGAAGGAAATAACTGATACTTTAGAAATTGTTAAGTCAAATTTATATCAAGTAATTACATAGTATGTTTATAATTTACCTTTATGTTTATGATTTATGCCCCCAAGGTTTACATTCATGCTTATACAGTTTCTTTACTGAGTGGTAGGAAAGTTTTGCATTTTCAGCTAGTGAGCTTACTACATATTTTAGCAACTCGTATAAAAGCAGCACTGCAATGGAATTACAGGCCTATTTCACTGGGACTCTGAGATAAAGGTCTTCGTAAAGAAGTGTGGGGAAACTTTTATGTCATGTGTTGGATCTGAATTTTTCTCCTGATGGGTAATGAAGAGAGAGAGTCCCCTTGCCTGCCATGCTGTACTATCTGATGGATAAGAACCATAGCCTCCTGTTACTGGCTCATTTGTCTTTATGTGTAGGTCTGCGCTGTGATTGGCATCTGTCACTGGTCAGACAAGAAGACACTTTTAATGGGGCCTCTGAAGAAACACAGATCAGCCTTTTGTCCTAATTTGATGTGTGCAGCAAAGAACAAATGACCCCATGACTCCAGTGGTCTTCTGAAAAGGCTGGGAGAGTCTCAGGGACTACACAGAGCTACATCCATTTAAATTTAGGGGAAAAAATTAGAACTTTTTACTTGCTCTTCATTGCATTCATTTTTAAAACTTTTAGAGTTTTTATAATTAAAAAAAGTATCACTAGAACAATATATTTATAGTATTTATACCTTGATTTTATTTACTTATTTTAAGGTTACCAATGAGAACATAGCTGATTTTTTTAAATGGTCTTGGAATAGGTAAAATCAGATGATGTTAATAATGTTAGATTTGGCCAGACTCAGAGAACATTAATCCAGGTCTTACTATGCCTTTTACTTGTGTCTTAGTTAGGGGTTCACATAACATGGTGACGTGCAGGCAGACACGGTGCTGGAGAAGTAGCAGAGTGTCCTATATCTTGACTTAGAGGTAACAGAAAGTTGTCTGTCTCACTGGGCATGGCTTGACTATGAGACCTCAAAGCCCATCTCCAAAGTGACACACTTCCTCCAACAAGACCACACCTACTCCAACAAAGCCACACCTCCTAATAGTGCCACTTCCTCTGGGGGCCAATTTCTTTCAAACTACCACAAATTGCTTATGCAATCGTGAGTAAATTCCTTACCAGACTTCTCAGTTTTCACATCCACTAAATAGATTTATGAGGCTTCATGATCTAATGAATGCAGGACTGAACAGAATATGAGGCACAGAAAATTTTAAATATTTATAAATTTCAGTTACTACCACTAAACACTTAAAAATTCCTTATATAAATATTGTAAGTTATCATCAATAAATCTGTAAAGTCAGTTTTGCTAAGGTAATAAGTATTCTAGTCTAATTGAGGGTAATAATTATTCTTCAGATAGTTTAAGTAGAATAAAGCTTCTCCTTCTTGCTATTGTTATCTCAGCATCTGCTGTGTTTCATTTTAATCCATGGCTTTATAAAGAGACACCCAAATAGTATCATTCACAGAATACTTATCCAAAGAATTCCATGGCCAAAGAGAGAAACCCTGGCAATAAATTGCACCCAAATACATTGGCTTGAGCCTTTATACTATTTCTATTTAACATAATATTTTTGAATGAATGGTCTGAATTTAGGTCAGACAGGAAGGAGTTGAAAGCAAGGAAAAATAGAAAATGAATAGAAAAAAGAAGCTCTGTGTGTCCCCTAGACTTTGTTTTGGAACAAATTCTCATACTATCAGAGAGATGCTAGGTACCAATGTCTCTCAGAAAACAGGGTTCCAACCTTGCTGTTGCTGACATCTTGAGCCACATAATTTGCTGCAGTGGGGGACTGTCCTTAGGAGTGTCCCTGGACACTTCCCACTAGATGCCAGTGACATTCCCTCCTACTCAGCCCCTGAGCTGTGACAACTAAAGTTATTTCCAGACATCACCAAATGTCCTCTGGATGTGTGTGCATGTATGAGGGGGAGGGGATAGAGGGGACTTTTTCCCAGATTAGGGCCACTTGGATTCCCTACTACCTTTTCTATTATTCATAAGGTAAGCCGGTTCAATGAGTTAGTGAGCCCCTGAAAACCCAGTTCTGAATTGTATGATGCTTCCAGAATGCTTTCAAGGAAATACTTTCCAATTATTTAGGAACTTTGGAAGAGTTCAGGTCCCTTAGAGTTTCTGTGAACTGGAGGATTTCTGCATGTGGGTGTGCCAAGGGCAGGGAAGGCTTTTAGTAAGACCAAGCTGAAAGTGTAGGGCAATTGATTAGGCGTGAATGATTTTTGTTCAGTTAGCTACGGGTTCAGTTGGTAGTATAGGAGTTGGAGAAGGAATTCTCACCATTTCTTTGCTCTCACTGTTTACTTTCTTCTCCCTTCTGTTTTCCTCCTGGACCCTCACTTTTTCTTTTCTCTATGTCCTGTTTATAGTGTCTTTCCTCTCTGGTACTGTTTTAGGTACACTCTGGTCATGAAGACCCAGCGCTGTGGTCATGAAACCAGATGGCCTGACTTTGAAACAGAGCTCTGTTACTTTCTTGTTGTGAAACCAACTCAAGCTTATTTAACCTCCATCTGCTTTCATTTCCTTCCTACTGAATTGAGGATGATACCAAGAGTACCTCTTCGTGGTGAGATGAACATGAACATATATGAAGCAAGTGGGAGTGAACCAGAGCAGGTGGTGAGCATCCAACAACATTAGCTGTTACCGGCCTCTCCACCAGCATAGACCATGGGTCACACTTGCAGAGTACAGCAACACCCAGCAGTCTGTATCACTCTGGAGAGTTATTGCTCATTCTTGATTTGGGAAAGTAGACATGGGGTACCTGCCTCCAGGAGCTGACTTAACAGCTTTATGCTGGGGCAACAAATGTACCTGTAATGGCTCTATTGAATTTCTTCCTAGAGAATAAGCAGAGTTGGCGTGTACGACTACAAGGCACAGTGTATTCTGTGTGCCCAGACCAAAACATGAAATCATACTAACTACTGGAAAGAAAATCTCGCTGAAGAAATGTCAGTGACATTAAAACTGGTGATTAGGGAAGTACAAAACAAAACAAAACCAACAATACAGTATTTAGGTAGGGTGCCACATTAATAAAACTTAAGAGACATCAATATCCTTTATGTGTGTGAATATAGGGAAAATGGTACTGTCATTCAATACTAATGAGAAAATAATTGGTTTACAAAAACATGATTTAGAGGGAGGGCCGTACAGTTCTATCTTTAATTAAAATGCTTATTCTCAAGGCAGCTGTAGTGTTTTTATTCAGGAGGCTGTGGCAGATAGGACCTACATAGCAAGAGCCAGTCATCAAATAAATAGATAAATAAATAAGCAGAAAGAAAATGCTCTTACTTTTTAACTCAGGAATACCACTTACATGATTTTTTTTCTGAAATATTTGTCTTTAATTATAAGTATGCTTTAGGGTAAATATACAAAATTTCATGAAAGTGCTGTTTCTCACAGGAAAAAAAAACCTACTAGTAAGCAATGATTGATACAGAAACAAATCAATAAATAGATGCAGGTACCTGTACCAGGCTTTTTCTTTTGGGCCACCAAATCATGACACAGAGACTTATTATTAGTTTTGAGTGTTTGGCCTAGCTTAGGCTCATATCTGACTAGCTCGTTTAACTTAGATGAACCTGTTTCTCTTTATCTAGTTTTACCTCAGGGCTTATTACCTTTTTTTGTATATCTTACTTTCACTGCTTCTCTATGTCTGTTTGTCTGTCTGGAGACTGCCTGGCTTCTTGCCTCAGGTGTGTCCCTTGTTCTCTTCCCCCATTTCCCTCATTCTTTTTCTCTTGAGCCTAGTTTTCTCCTCCTGTTTAGTCTCTCTGCCTGGCAGCCCTGCCTATCCCTCTCCTGCCTAGCTATTGGCCAGTTAGCTTTTTATTAGACCAATCAGGTATCTTAGGTGGACAAGCTAAACCACATATCTTTACATAGTTAAACACCCATTCTTACATCATTAGACAAATGCAACAAAAACACTCCTTTACACCGTCAAAGTAATACTCTGCAGCATTAATAAATGTAACATGTCTTTTACATAGTTAAAATAATATTCTACAACAGGTACCTCACTGTTTAGCCACATTACAAACTGTTGAAAAGAATAAACACTGCTATAAAGCATTTGCATGGTATAGTGCAATAGTGCTATAAGCAAATCCATGTTTACTGCATGCACCTTTGAGTATCTAGGAAAGGGTCTGAATTAAAATATTCTCAACTATTAGCAGTAGTCCCTTGGAGACATGTAGACTTGGTGTCCTCTGACTCTGCCTTAACTTCTGACAGGGTTCCTAGTGTTTGCAAGGAACACCTGATTTAATTTCTTAATTTAATTGTAAAAACAATTTAACATCATTTTCTCTGCTCTCTGGGATTCCTGGGGGGTGCTGTATCTTGGTTACTTTTCCTGTTTCTGTGATAAATCATCCTGACAAAAGCAACTTAAGGGAGAAAGGGTTTCATTTTGCTCACAGTTCTGGATCTAGTTTATCATGGCCAGAGTCCTAGCAGTTGGAACTTGAGACATCAGTTCCATAGCATCTGTCGTCTGCAAGCAGAGAACGGTGAGTGCTTGTGCCCAGCTCATTTTCTCATTTTGTACAGATCAGGGTCCTAGCCCAGGGCATGTGGGCAGACCTTCTCCTTTCAATTAACCTACTCAAGACAATCCCTTATAGACATGCCCAGAGGTTGGTCTAACCTAGATAATTCATCACTGTGTGCTGAAGGCTTATCCTCTAAGTGACTCTGGGTCTTTTCAAGCTGACAGTGAACTTTAACCATTAGAGGATGGAAATCTCATATAAATGTCCATGTCCACTAAACCTGAATTGAGGCCATTGTGATTTTCCATTTGATATTATTTTCTGCCCTTTTTCTTGAATTATTGTTAGAATTACACATATAATGTCTCACGTTCATATGAACTTCCTTCAGATTTCTGGTCCACAGCATGTGATTCCCATCTACTAACATTGCTGAGAGTTCAGTCTAGACATTTGGGGAAAACAAAATACATTTTAGGGTATAAGTTGCCTGGCCTCTACTATTTTGGGGGTATGCGTGTGTGGGTGAAACAGAGTCTCAGTCTGACCTCAAATGTGCCTGCACCTGAGACTGGACCTGGATTTTGCTATGGAACCAAGGCTGGTTAGAAACTGGTAACAATCCTGTCTCAGCCTCTAAGCACTGGCCACTATGCTGAGATTAAGCCTTCTGGCTCCATACTTTGATACTGAGAACACACATTAGAAACTTAGGAGCATGTTTTAAAGAATAAAATGGAGAGCCCACAAAGATATAGGTTGTGTAGAAATTTTTACATGCACTCAGAAAAGACTCAGTGCCAAGTCCTGGGATGGATGCAGGAGAGGCCAGTGGGTGGCTCTGAGCCTTCAGAAGTAATACAAAAGACAACGCTGGCAGTTAGGCTCTAGGAATCAAAAAACAAAACAAAACAAAGAGCAACCCACATTTAATTATGTAAAAGGCTACTTTCTCTGGGTATTTAGGTACTAGATTAGGGAACTGCTGTCCTAAGTCAAAGGACCGATAAGACAAACAACTGCCAGCATAAACAAC